TTTAAACAAATGTTATTAATTTTCAGTGATACTCCATTTCTGCAAATATGATTATGATGACAGTAATAGAAAGTTGTGCGTTATTATTGTGGGTATTGAAGAAAGTAGATGGAGAGAGTTGTCAGTGCTTTGCTAGATGCATTGTTTCATGGCTCTTTTTGAGCTTCTCCCTGCTCCAATAATAAACTGTTAAACCCAAGCGATATTAAATTATAACTCCATGCAACTTGTTGTTCTGGTACATAAGGTTGTTAGGAGCACTTAAGTGTCACCTTCTAGCTTCTCATAATTATAAACTATGGTCATTTGATATTCCTTTATTTGTTCTATATAGAGGTCAAATTACTAATTCTAATTTCTTTGTTAGCATTTTTGTTTTAGCTTTCTCAAATGAAACACAGAAAAGTAATAAAATGAGAAAATGGTTATTTAAATGACATTTGCTTTTTTTAGTGTTTGGACATATTTTACTGACAAATTGTCAAGTAAATCCAGGGTTACCAGGCAAATTAGCCAGTAGAAGATCATTCTTTTAATTAATGATAAAGTTAATTAAGAATTCTTAGAAATAAGAAGAATAATGGCAATACTTGTTAGAGTTGGTCATTTAAAGGAGAATAAACTAATAATTTGAAAGCTACATGTAAGGCAGGAAGAGCATTCGACTTAAATGAAGTTGAAATCATTGACCTCTTCAGCTTCTCCTCATTCTAAACTGTTCCTAATCCAAGCACTTCTATTGCCCCAGAACCCAACTTCCAGGAGATTGAAAGTAAGTATTGGAGATTTATAACCCTGGAAGCAAGAAAAGGAAGAGGCCAGAGGTAGTAACTAAGAAGGTTAGCTCAAGTACTGGTTCTCCGTTCTTGTCTCTTCATTTCATGAAATTCAACTAGTAGTTGATTGTCTATTTTTTTTTTTTTTTTTTTTTGGTTTTTCAAGACAGGGTTTCTCTGTGTAGCTTTGCGCCTTTCCTGGAACTCCAGGCTGGCCTCGAACTCACCTGCCTCTGCTTCCCGAGTGCTGGGATTAAAGGCGTGAGCCACCACCGCCCGGCTGATTGTCTATTTTTAATGTAATTGATCATTTGCAAAGTCAAGAGATACACCATTTAGAAAAATGTTGTAGACCCAACCTAGTATTCTAGTTTTCAAAATAAAGGTATATTGTTTTAATTATTAGGAAAGTAATGTAAACCAGAATTTCTTAGGGTAATTGTTAAGAAAAATTAAGAATCAGCATAATATTCTTGTGAGAAAGAGGTACAACTTTATTAAAGGAAAGACATGATCATTTCATTCCTCTAGATTGTTTTAAAACGTTTGTTCTCTTGTATCCAAAGAGGATACAGTTGTTATTCTTAACATTTGGCCCTTATTTATACTAGGATATTTATTTGTGTTTGTGGTAAAAGTCTGTGGGTGTCTCAAGTTCTTTATATAAGATGATGTAATATTTGCATAAAGCCTGCACATATCTCTTTGTATACTTTTAAGTCTTCTGTATATTATTTATACCTAGTACAATGGAAATGTTTTTAAAGATTTATTTTTAAATTATATGTGCTTGTGTCTGTGTGTATCTGTGTAAGGTTTGTGGTTTAGAGTTTATATTTAAATCTGATTCATTGAGTACTTTTGAATATAAAACAACTATGGTATTGTCCGGTATTGGATAGCTTAGTAGGTGACGGTACATGCTGCCAAGTTTGATTACTCACCAGAATCCATGTGGTGGAAGGAGAGCATCTGCTACTGCAAATTGTTCTCTGATCTCTGCATGGGTGTCATGGCACACACACACCCCATCCCCAAATAAAATTAATTAGGAAGGGGGAGGGATGGCATTTCAACAATGATAGAGTTGTATATATACAAAATAACAAATGAGCCTCAGTCCACACTACCTCTCATTTTATATTCAGAAGTACTCCGAATCAGATTTAAACATAGAACCTAAACTGTGAAAGTTTTAGAAGAAAACATGAGATAATCTTTATTATCTAAGTTTGAGGAACTAGTCTTAGATGTGACACCAAAAGCATGGTTCATTAAAGTTTATGTGTATATTTGTTCAAAAACACAGTGTGGTGGTGCACACCTTTAATCCCAGCACTCTGTGGACACAGGCAGGCAGATCTCTGTAAGTTTTTTTAAAATTATTTTTATTTTATGTGCATTGGTGTTTTACCATGGGTGTCTAGTCCCCCAAAACTGGAGTTACAGACAGTTGTGAGCTGCCATGTGGGTGCTGGGAATTGAACCCAGGTTCTCTCGAAGAACAGTCAGTGCTCTTAACCACTGAGCCATCTCTTCAGCCCTAGATCTTTATGAGTTTAAGGCTGTCTTGGTCTACATAGAGAGTTCTAGGCCAGCTAGAGCTATAACAGTGAGAACCTGTCTCAAAAAAAAAAAAGAGCAGAAAGAAAAGAAAACAAATTCCTGGCATGTTAATTTTTGACATTCCAGGACAGTAAATCAGTATTCCCAGGTATTCTCAGAGTTTTCAAAATTATATTTTAAACACACTTCAAACAATCTTTAGACTATATGATTTGAATGGCTAAAATTCTTGTTTGAAGAGTAAAATACACTAAGTTCAACAGTACTTACAGAGAAGTACATCCTACAGAAATATTCAATGAAAAACATAATTTGAAATTCATGTCTCCCAGTAAGATGACAGCCCTTCACATTGGCATGCTTGGTGGGGCACCTCACCACCCTGGGCATCATCTCTTCAGCTCACCTTTTGTAGTTTTTAGCATAACGTTCTGTATGTGTTTTATTATATTTGTACATTTTATTTTTTGTTTAGCTTTTATACATGGGGTTATATTTGAAATTTAACATGTATTCTATGTATACATCAGGTAATTTGCAAACATGGCCAGTTTTAGTTCTTTTTGTATGCACCCTGCCATTCACCACTCTCACTTTCATGGAATTACTTGCCTTGTTCCTGATTTTAGGGTGAAAATGTTTAGACTCTAACCATTCAATTATTTAGGATAGGAGCCATATAGAATGCTGTAGCATGAATCTTAAAAGTTCTTATTAATAAAATCAAACCCAGAGCCAGGTATTGGGGGGGGGGTAAATGCTGGATGATCAGAGCAGAACAAGCCACAGCCACCTCACCTTGCCAATTCCTCAGCTGATCCTGTTTCTTCAGACTGGAAGCCTCTGAGATCTCAGCTGAACTGCTGCTCGAAAGCCTAAAAGCTTAACCAGCTCTAGTTCCTGGTTTCCATGCTTTATATACCTTTCTGCTTTCTGACATCATTTCTTGGGATTAAAGGCTCGTGTTGCCATGCCTGGCTGTTTCCAGTGTGGCTTTAAACTCACAGAGATCCAGATGGATCTCTGCCTCTGGAATGCTAGGATTAAAGGTGTGTGTGCCACCATTTTCAGGCCTCTATATCTAGTGGCTGTTCTGTTCTCTGACCCCAGATAAGTTTATTAGGGTGCACAATATTTTGGGGAACACAGTATCACTACAGAATGCTTTTCTAGATACCCTTCCTTGAGGAAGCCCCCTTTTCTTTGTTTTTTTTTTTTTTTTGAGAATTTTTATCATAAAAGTGTGATAAGTTTCAATCAATGCAGAAAAGCATTTCATTTCCCCCATTTGCTGTGGTTTCATTAGGTTTTTCTCTGTTCTCTGTTCTGAAGGAGGTTAGATTATTGGTTTGAGGTATGTCCCATTTTTCTGTTATATACATGCAGTCCTATAAATTTCCCTTATTAGTGCTGCTATATATGTAACCCGCAAGTTTTGCTGTATTATGTTTTCTGTTTTATTTAATTCTGTGTATCTTTTGTTCCCTTAAGATTTCTTCTTTGTCTAATGCGTGCTTAGAAGTATGCTATTTACTTTCCTTGTGTTTGGAGACTTTTCTATTGTTAATTTGTAGTTTAATTCTCTTGTTCTCAGGGAACATACTTTGTGTAATTTCAGTTCCTTAAGTATATTTAGTTTTGTTTTGTGTCCCAAAGAGGCAAGAGGATCTCTGAGTGTGAGGCCAGCCTGGTCTACAGAGCGAGTTCCAGAACAGCCAGGACTATACAGAGAAATCTTGTCTTGAAAGAACCAAAATAGTAATAATAATATCTTAAATGTCTGTGTTTTTCCTTGCTCAGTTTCCTTTATTGCATTGTCTTTAAGGTGGAAGTCGTATGGATTTTAAATTTTGAGTCATGGAATGCCTGAAATGATTTTGTTTTTGTTTTTTTCTCTCTAATATGACTGTTAGTTTTCTGGGTATAGAATTCAGTGTTTCGAATAAGTTTCTTTCAGAACTTTGAAAGTACAGTTTCATTGTCTTTTAATAGCTATCATTGACAAGTTTGTTCTTTTATAGGTGATCTATGTATTTCCTCCACTTATGTAAAAATTGAAAATCTCAGAGAGGTAGGCACATCTCACATGTCTGTAGTTCCAGCTGTTTGGGAGGCTGAGGCAGGAGTTCCAGGCCAACCTGGGTACATAGTAAGGCCCTGACACCTCCCTTTTCCCATAAAAAAAGATAGAGTGGTTGGTTGAAATTGAAATAAAATAATCTTCGCTATTGTTATTCCACAGTGTTTTTCTAAATAAAAAGAAAACAATAGTGATTGGAATGAAGCAATCTTCTCCCCTGTTGTCCTTCTGCAGCATTTTTAGAACACACATCAGTGAGCGACACCCCACTTGCCGAGCTCTCCTGTTCCTTCCACCCTTTAAGCGCACGTATCTTGAATTGGAATATGACTTCCTGAAACTTTAACCCATTGAATCTTCTCAGTAGAACAGTGCAAGATAAAGTTCTTTAGGGTAGATTGTGATTTTAGCTTTATATGTAATTTTGTACCTAATTTTCTTAATCTTGATGTTTCAAAACTTGTAATTGTTTTCTGTCAATGTTTTAATTTAAAATACATATTAACTTTTTTTTTAAAAAGCTATACCGTATCTTGCACCACTCCTTTTATTTAGTGATTCTTGTTTTTTAAACCTAGATCTTGTGTGGACAGTAATGACCGCACGTTTCCGATTGCCTGCTGGCAGAACCTACAATGTCCGAGCATCGGAGTTGGCCCGAGACAGACAGCATACAGAGGTGGTTTGCAACATTCTTCTTCTGGATAACACTGTACAGGCTTTCAGAGTTAATGTGAGTATTTTATTTTCTTCTCCTCCTTGCCTTAGCTTCTTCATCACCACCACCACCACCACTGTCTCTGGATATTAGTCTGAATTTAGATTTATTTTAAAACTAAAACGATTAAGTAATAGTACAGTTTGAACATTCTTAGTTAAGGAAGTCTTTTTGATACAAGTGTATATCCAGTATACCTGCTTATTCAAATTAGATCTTTCAAAAAGTGCGGCCCACTAACTGTTCACAAACAGCAGAGCATCCTAGTTCATGAACAGATCAGTAATATGCAGGTGGTTTTATAATGTGCATGAGGGTGTCTGAAAATAATTTGTCTTAAATACCTTCCTAATATGTTTCACTAAAGCCTTATTTGTACTGTCTGTGAATACAACTTTCGTTAAACAAAGATAAGTTATAAGACCGATCTTACGTAAGTATTGTCTGAAAAGCATTTATCCAACAAGTATTTGTTCTTGTTTTTTTTTTTTTTTTTTTTTTTGGTTTTTCAAGACAGGGTTTCTCTGTAGTTTTGCGCCTTTCCTGGAACTCACTTTGTAGACCAGGCTGGCCTCGAACTCACAGAGATCCGCCTGACTCTGCCTCCCTTGTTCTTGTTATTAATATCTAGCTTCAGCTGTTCCTCATTTGAGTTTCACCAATGTGGTATATTAGTATTAGTTCATTCATTTTCATTGCTGCATGCTATTCTTTTGTATGAGCATACCATAGTGTATCCATTTGCCTATCTCTGTTTAGTTATTCCATTTTTTTCTTTGTTTGTGTTTGGATTATTTCCACTATAGGCTCTTAAGTTCTTATACATGTCTTAGTAATATATACAAGTATCGAGGTCCACAGAAGCACCCTAGAAAGGCTTTATGCAAGGTCAGAAAGTCTGAGCTTGCTTTGCCCAGCAGGACTGCATAGTGAGATAATATGGCCAAGGGCATGGTTACCAGGTGTTTTGAAGGGTCTACACTTGTTGGTACTTAGTACCAACAGGGGAGATCTTTTGTTCCTCCCCTCGCTAATGTATAAAAAGCTCATCATGATTAAACTTGGGGCGACTGGGTATTGACCCAGGGCCCTTCCAAAACTATCTTATGTCTCTATCTTTTTTCTTCATCTACTTCTATATTTCCTATCTAGCATTTCTCAATTCCTTACTTCCCTCTTCAAGGGACCCTTCGATAGGTCGGGGCTGAACCCCAACACTGGGCTGGACCCTGGCATACAAGGATGCACATACCTTTTTTATTTTAAAAACTTCAAATCTGTAGTTGGAATGGAAGAATAGTATACTGAATATGTAGCTCCCTTTGCCCAGACTGAACTGGTGTTAACATTTGTACATTTACTTTCTCTTTTCTTCCTGAACTCCCTGAAAGTAAGTGGTTGACACACCAGTAAGTATTTAGCATTATGAGAGTCTTCTAAATTTATACAATACCATTGTCATACCCCCAAAATTTAGCATTCTATATATGATACTATTTAATATATAGCCCATATTCATATCAAAGTCTCTGCAATGACGTCATCTGTTTCCTGATTGTGTCTATCTGTACTTTGAAATCTGTGACTTAAAATTTTAATATTTACCAAGTACTTAAAAACAACCTTTATTTTACTTATTGTGTTCATGTATAATGTGCATGGGAGTTAGGGGGAGCACATGTGCCACAGTGTGAATGTGGAAGTCAGAGGACTACTTTGTGGAGCTTGTTTTCTCTTTCTACCACTTTTACATGGGTTTTGGGGATCAAGCCCAGATTGTTAGACTTACAAGGCAAGTAAGTGCTTTTATCCAATCCAATGTACCATCTTGCCAGTCCTGTTTACTAGTTTTTTAAGCTTAAATGTTTTTGTGTGTAACTTAGTATGCAGCAGGATCACTAATTTACCTTTCAAAAAATCCTAAGTTTCATTTCACATTTGAAAACAAGCTGCAAAATAGTGAAAATATCATTATTTATGAGATTATTTAACCCAACAGCTCAGTGTACTTTCTAAAACTTAGATTTTAAATTTCTTGTTTCCTACTATCTATTAATAGATGAAGAGTAGATTACCAAGCAGAAATAAAAAAAAGTAAAGAGAATTCTCCTTCATAAATATTTCTGATTAATATACTTTCTGATTAATATAAACTATGTATCAGACAATTGACAAGGCTTTTTGCCCCTGTTATGGACTCATTAAGATTCTTTTGGAGGAAGCTAGGTGGTAGTGGTACACTCCTTTAATCCCAACACTCGGGAGGCAGAGGCAGGTGGATCTCTGTGAGTTCGAGGCCAGCCTGGTATATAGAACTAGTTCTAGGACAGCCAGGGCTGTTACACAGAGAAACCCTGTCTTTAAAAACCAAAAAAAAAAAAAAAGATTATTTTGGAGATACAAATTTAATAAATCTTATTTTAAGTTAATATGAATTTTATTTTTTAATTATAGGAAATATTTATTTAGAACTATTCTACAATCATATTTTTATATTTGTTTATGTTGTACTGTGGATTGAATCAGGGCTTTGAACATGCAAGGCAAACATTCTACCACTGGACTCTGTTCCCAACCCTTTTTCTATTTTTCATTCTGGGACAGACTTTTACAAAGTTGTACTGAGCTGGCCTTGAACTTGCTTGCTCTGTAGTCCACTCAAGCCTTGAACTTGGCTGCCTTCCTGCCTTAACTTCCTGAGTTGGTGGTTGTCTTAGTTAGGGTTTCTATTGCCGTGAAGAGACAGTATAACCATGGCAACTCTTATAAAGGAAAACATTTAATTGGGTAGCTCGCTTACAGCTCAGAGGTTTAGTCCATTATCATCATGGCAGGACATGATAATGTGTGGTAGACATGGTGCTGGAGAAGGAACTGAGAGTTCTACATCTTGATCTGCAGGCAACAGGAAATGAACTATTTGTCACACTGAGCATAGCTTGAACAAAGGAGACTTCAAAGTCCACCCCCACAGTGACACACTTCCTCCAACAAGGCCATACCAATTCTAACAAAGCCACACCTCCTAATAGGGCCACTCCTTATGAGCTTCTGGGGGCCAATTACATTCAGAGCACAACAGTGGTTTTACAGGTCTCTGTCACCAGCCTGGTTAGTCGTATTTTTAAAGAGAAATTTGGGAATTTCTTTCTTCTAGTTATGATGCATTAATTAACAAATACAAAAATGGTATGAGTCATTAGGCTACTTACAAAGAGACAGGACCCTCTTTCTTGCGCTCTCTCTCTCTCTTTCCCTCTCTCTCTCTCCCTTATTACAACATTGTTATATCATTAAATATTAAATACTATTTATTAGGTGATAACTAACTCTTCTTCGATTTGATACATGAATTCCCTTAAAAAGTTTTTTTTTTTTTTGTGTGTGTGTGGGCATGCAGGAGATGTCAGGTCAGAAGAGACAGTGTCCCATAGAAGTAGAGTTACAGACAGTTGTGAGCTGCCATGTAGGGTGCTGGGAACTTAACCTGGGTCCTCCGCAAAAGCCACAAGTGCTCTTAACTGCTGAGACATCTCTCCAGCACCACATAAATTCTTTTTTAAAATATCTTTCACACATATTGTATTACTTAAAAAAAAATTTAGTTAAGGACATAATTAACAAAACTGAAGTTCAAAATTAGCAGATCCTTGCTTTGTTACTCCTTAGGCATAATTGATGTTTATTTATTACTTACTATTTATTGTTACATATGTTTTTAGTTTTGTGAGGTTTTATTTTTTTCTTTCGTTTATTTGGAGAATGAGAATTTAGGTCTCAACTCCATCCCCTTTCTGTATACAAACACTTCCTCTGTCCTCTTTCCAAAAACATAGTAGTTATGTAATAATATTTGGTTAGTTTAGTGTTTGTGTTCTTTAGAGGAAAAAAAATCCCCAATTATCTGGTTTGAGTTTGGAGAGCCTAACTGCTTTGTCATCTTAGTGAGTGAGAGAAGGGGTCTGAGTGTTACCAACTATTTAGTGTGTAGACTTTCACTTACTACAATCTTGCCTGTTTTCACTGTAGTAAAAATTAATTCTTCCTGATGTCCTTTAGCCCAGAGTTGAAGTTTATTTTCTTCAGAGCTTCCACCCCTAGCTCCTAATAACAAGGGGCAGTGGTTTGGTGGTGGTACGTGAAGGGGAGTAGGGGTCTGGAGAATCTCTCATCGACAAACCTTCTCAAATCTTCTCCAAGTCTTCTCTGGACTTACTTTTTCAGAGATTATTTGTACTTGTGTTTTTAGAAAAATTGACTTGCTCCTGGGCCTTTCTCACATTGCTAGCTTTGTTTTATCTACTTAGGTTGCTTTTAATTTTTGAAATTTTTGTTAGTGTAGTCTTTTCCTTGCTTTGTTAATCCCAAAGATGCTAGGAGAAAAGATCACAAATTATCATGGCCAAATTAATTAAAGCAAGACTTTTTATTTATGTACGTAGTCTGTCTCTCCCTAAAATTGGGTTTCAGGAGATCAGCATTGGATGTGAAGAAGACATTTTTATAGCTCAGGGGTAGGGGGTTTCTGTAGCTAGAGTTTTCCTGCCTGGCCCACAGTCAGGACAAATCTCTCTCACCTGCCAGTCCCACAGCCGCTCAGACCCGACCAAGTAAACACAGAGACTTATATTGGTTACAAACTGTATGGCCGTGGCAGGCTTCTTGCTAACTGTTCTTACAGCTTAAATTAATCCATTTCCATTAATCTATACCTTGCCACATGGTTCGTGGCTTACTGGCATCTCCACATGCTGTTTGTCATCGTGGCGGCTGGCAGTGTCTCTCTGACTCAGCCTTCCACTTCCCAGCTTTATTCTCCTCCTTGTCCCGCCTACACTTCCTGCCTAGCCAATGGCCAATCAGTGTTTTAATTATTGACTAATCAGCAACACATTTGACATACAGAACATCCCACAGCACTTCCCCCCTTTTTTTTAAAAAAAAAAAAGGAAGGTTTTAACCTTAACAAAGTAAAATTACATATAATTTGGGAATTTGGGCGTAGCTTCTCTTAC